AGTGTTTTCTGTTCCACAAACATTTAACTGTGACATTAAAAGGAATCGTCACGGGGAGCCAGACAGTGGTGCAGCAGTAAAACACAAAACACTCTGCAAAGCAATCCCACGTGGGAAGAAGCTTCCCAGTTCAACCTCAGCAATCTCCCTGAATATGCTGGGCATGTGCTTCTCTGTAACCTAGGTTTGGGTGATGGCTGGGGCTGGATTGCTGAGTCAGGACCCTGCTGCAGGTGCTGTTTCTCTCGCTCCTTTCTCTCTCCCTCCATCTATCTCTCTTGTTCATGCAATAAACAAACTAACTTTAAATTAAAAAAAAAGGCATCATTGCAAGACAGCTGCAAGTATGCACAGTGCCTCAAACAGCGCTTGGCACACAGGACATCCTGAACAAACATTTGTTAAAAGAATCAATGTATTTAAACACACATTCTATCATATTTTTTATAAAGCCACAAAACTCTTCTTCAATTCTCTAATTTCAAGTCTTCCAGGCTGGTATATTTATTTAAATGATACTCCCTTCAGCCAAAATTTAATACAATTCATGTTTAAATTAACTGAAATACCTTGATAATTTTGGTTACTACAAAATATGACTGAAGAAATAATAGCCTTGACTAGGTTATCCACTTCAGATTTCTCTGTACAACAGCTATGTAATCTCACAAGGCAGCTCCCAGAGGCTTGTAAAACAAAATTTGGCTTTGAGAATTATAAATCAGTCAAATCTCAATTAAAAACAACAGCCCTCCCCCTAATACCAACGAGTATCAAAATAAACCTCTTTACCAGTTTTATCATTCATCCCTTTCAGGAATAAGAAACTTAAATGTAATATTCATATTTTCACTCTGTTCTTAGTTTTCTCCCTTCCTAGATTTTACATTAAAACAGACTGTTTAAAAATCTCATTTGTTTTTCTACCACAAAAGTTTAAACTAGCAAATAAAATAACTGTCACTAAAAAATAAACAAATACTAACTACCAGCCAGTTTTAGGCTCATATATAAACAGTCGTGCACGCCCGCATTCCTTCTGTACCTACAAGTGTCTCTGGTTTTTGCACTTGATATTAATATATTTACTATGAAAAGAATAGTAATAAAATTTATTCTTATGGCCAAGGTTTTCAGAGTTTGGTCCAACAACCCTGGAGCATCCCAGAGACTCACAAATTTCCGAGGGCAGGTTTCCTTCCTGAACTTCATTAAAATGAGTCAACATACTGCCAGATTGGATGCAGAAACTGTTGAGAACTCAACTATCCTCTTAATTTAAGCCATGCATAAATACATTTTCAAATGTGCAAAACAATGTCATTTCCCCACTAAAATTCTTTTTGTTTTGAGAAATCGTTTTCAGTTAATACTTAAATTAAGTAGCTCGCTATCAAAATAATTTCAAAATATTTTATTTCTATCCCTATAAATATGTAAAACAGAAAAACACTTAAGTTCTTTAAGTCCTGAGTAATTTTTATTTAAGGGTGATCCTGACATTTAATATTTAATGTTTAATACTTAAAAAGCAGGCCGGCTCCATGGCACAGCAGTAATGCACTGTGCCAGAGAAGCCAAATCCACGTGGCGACTGCAGCTCGAATTCCCAACCTGGTCAGCCTGAAACATGCCTGGGGAGTCCCCAAAGATCGGACAGGATGGAGGACCAACAGGGGACTGCAACATGGCCAGACTCCACAGGGGGTACCCTTCACACACTCTCGGACTCTCTTGTGTGTATGCACACACTATACACACTGTATCATGAATTTACAAAATATTCTTATTAAAAAAAACTTTTCTTGGGGGGGGAGGAGTTTTTGCCATAGGGCGTGTACACTCGCCAGAAAGACAGAGAGATAGAAAGCGAGAAATCACCCCCCTGGGGGGATGGCCACACCACAATCCCTTCTCCATTCTCCTCTTGGGATCTTGGGGACGCATGCACACACACCCAGCAGTGTCTGGTCTCAAAAAACTATTTTGTAAAATAAAAATTGCTGGCCTGTAGCAATTGCCCTTAACCCCCAACTGGATGAAAAACAGTAAAAGAAAAATGTATTGATTTTACTTGTCAAGTAAAATTAGATTTTATAATTCAAATCACTTTATGAGATAGATGACTACTATAATATTTTAGGTACTAACAGTACACAGCATTTCATTACTCATTGCTTCTCATATTCCATTTTGTACAAAGTCTGAAGAGCTATTCAATTTTATATAACTGCAGCAAAATCCCACGTATGTGGACAGTCAACAACTTAATTCCTCTCCACAGACTGAACTAAATCTTTAGGTTACAGTTTGTGTAATTTTCTCATTTTATAGCATCATCACGCTAGAGTTTTCTGCAGTTATTAGGCAGAAAACACAGTATACATACTTATTCTAAAACTACTCATTAAAACTTGTTAAAAATTTGATGTGAAAAATGATATGACAATAACACGTAAGTCAACCCTTATTTTGTATTAGGTCATTGGGAAAATCATGACGTTTATTTCTGTTTTTCTATGCAAAAATGAGTCATGAATTTCCCAGTGACCCATTATTATCTGATCAACTGGCTTAGAAAATACATCTGCCACATTCTACCTGGAAAGTTCACATAGGGCTTTCTCTAACATGTGGATTTAAAGACAATCTACAGCTTCTGAAATACAAGAATTACTTTGTACTTCCCTGAAAGTACAACAAATCATCTTCCCTCCTGCAATGAATTAAGCACTTGCATACATTTTTCAGCCAAATATACAAATAAGAGGTTGTAAGACACACTCAAAAGACAGACAGACAGACATGTAAGAGAAATGCCTGATAGTGTGAGCATGCACACCTCTATAATCATTCATGCGCCTGGCACGTCAGAAGCACGTACCACGTGGTATCACTCCTACACTGTGCTGTCGGTGTGTCATAGAACTTGGCTGAAACTTGCCAGTCTGGTGTCTTCCAGTAATTTATCCTTGGTTCTCTGAACAAGGGCTTAAGCTGCAAACCCACTATCTCTACCTGCAGATATACAGCCTGTTCTGTCCTATGGATATTAAAGATTCACTAAGGGCCCTTGCAGTTGGATCCCACATGGCTGACTGAGTGGTTTGAGTCCTGGACCTGGAAGCTTGAGAAACACATTGTGTGTATGCATGCCCAAAATTCCAAGAGGAGAACAGAGGAGAAGGGTTTGCAGTGTGGCCACACCCTGGTGGGTGATTTCTCACTTTGTCTCTCTCTCTATTTCATAAGCACATGTGTGCTATGGCAAATTATTAAAAAAAAAAAAAAGTTATTTAAGATGAAACAGTAGTACTAAGGGGAAAAACGTTAAATTAGTGATAAAGTTCCAGGGCCAGCCTCGTTGCCTAGTGATTACTGTGCAGTTCAAATCCTGGCTCTGGCAGCGGAAAGAAACAACGGGTTCATGTGCACACATGTATACGTGTGTGCCCAAAATCTGAACAGGATGAAGAAATTAAGGGACTGCAGTGTACCATGTTCCATTGAGGGTTGCTCTCTCTCTCTTATTTATGTGCCCTCTGAGAATTAAAAAAAAAAGGAAACAAAATTCCAAAACTAGATTCGTTTAATAAATTTAAAATACTCTGCAACCTAAACATGGGCTATTTCCCCACATATCTTCTCCTATTGTTCCTATTGTCTGTTTGCTGGTCCAGGGTTGGGATTTTTAATTTGAATCTCTACTGAACAAAGATGGCAGAAAAGACAACAATCTACAGAGACACTGAAACAGCAAAACATAAAGGCCACCTCTATAAAAGAAGGTGTTTCCCTAAACGCGTACTTTGTGTGCAGCATATTTTAGTTCCTAGCTATGGTTTTTTTGTCCTCCCTCTTCCTCTCCCTAACATGTCCCAGAGAAAATCAGTACAAGAATTCAAAAACTAGCTCTCCTATTCTTTAACCATTCCTCCAAACACATCGCAGTACATGAAGAACAGAAGTTTAAAGGTAGACACTCCTCTACAAAGACTTGTAAAACAAATTCAAATTGTATCTTCCCCCCAAATTCATATTCATAACAAAAAAGCATCAGAATGATTTTAAAGTTCAGCATTCCATTTGTTACCACATTAAAGATGGTCAAATACTACAATGTTCAGAAAGAAAGAGATAAAACAGTGTAGGCTATTCTAGAAGAAAAGGGGACAGATTGTCACGTAGTGTCTATCTGCTCCACAACTGGTGAGAAATGCACTTTAGATTCAGGTCTCCCCACAGCTAACCGGCTGGTTCGTGTGTAGGTCAAACATGCACCATGTAAAATGGCTATGATTTAGGCAGGTGAAAAAAAATGAACCATATAAGCACAAGGCACCATCCGCTGAAATTCCTTGTTTTTAAGACCTCATTCTTCTGCTCAGTTCATAGGACTAAACTAAAAAATTTTAAAGTTCAAGTTCATGCTCCAAGGACAATTACACAAATAAAACTAGAAATGGAAACCTAGCAACTAAGATGCATTCGCAGAGGACAATGAATGGTTTAGGCAGAAATAACACATTACTAACCACCTTTACATACAGATGGTAATCTCTCCCCTGTAAAACAGATTTCACTGAAGGCAACCAGGACTCGGAATGCAACAGTAAACATTTTTAAAGGGGGTCTGGGGCACATAGAAATCAAACTGCATTTCCAAACTAATAACTGCAGCAAACAACTTTACCCTCAAATCCCAAATCATGCCACTCTGGTCTAAGGTAAGTTTTATAGAGATGAGAAGGGTAAACAGTCATGAGAATACATTTTTAAAAAGAAAGACAAAGTAAAAAAAAAAAAAAAAAAAGTCCCTGGAAAGACAGGAAAGGGAGGAGGGTAAAAAATAATAAAAAAAAATTTTTAAAAAAAAAAAAAAAAAAAAAAAAAAAAAAAAAAAAAAGTCCCTGGAAAGACAGGAAAGGTATGTGTGTCTGTGCTCATGTTTAAGAAAGGAGCCCGCCGTGTGTATGTGCAGCAAGCATTTGAATACTTACTGTGCCCGGCTCTCTGTCTGCTCCCGAGGTTACCAAGAAACGTACAGACATGCCCGTTCAGACACAGAGGCAAGAACAGAAATAAAAAAAAGGGGGGAATAATTAGAACACAAGCCCCAAACAGTTTTAAAAATGGCTTTTATTTATATAAGTCATTGCACATTCCTAATACAGTGATTTCCTGAAAATTACAGTATTTTGTAAACATAAAGATTTACAGTTTAACCATACACAAAGCCTATTTTTTTTATTTCTTGACAGAATAAATTACTTTTCTTCAAAAAATTAGTCAAGTGCAATTTTGCCCAATATTTAATGCATACTAGAATTAAAGCCTATGAAACTAAGTAGTAACAGATGCAATTATCAAACCTTTCATTTGAACACATTCACTTTCAAATTTAACTTCTTATTTCGCCCCATTTAACAACATTACTTTCTTTGAAAATTACCCAATTAAGCAGTTAACAGTTTTCCATAATATGGTACAGGCCACTGGCATTAAGTAGGCAGTTGCCAGGATGTCAAGATGCCTGCAACCTAACGAGATCGAGAAATCTAGAGATGCCCACGACAAGCCCTGCACACTTCCAGGGAGAACTGTGTTTCAGTGGCAAGCTTTGCGGCAGTTCCTCTGATCTCATTGTTTGCTCTCTGTATAGGGTGGGGCTTTCCTTAGCGATGCACACAATTCTGCAGCACTGAATGAGTATGAGGACAAAGTCCTAATCTGGCTTGCCCGGCCTCTCACCTCTGTGGTGCTCTGCATCGTGGTGCTTCTTGTCATCTTTTATTGCCAAGTGAGACTGCCCACTCAGAGCACTCGACAGCGCAAGAAGGCCGGCACTGCCCCCAAGAGGTGGGATCCCAGGAGGCTGAAGTCCCGAAGGGTGAGGCGTGAGGGGTACCGGGGGTCCATGGCCATGAGAGAGATGCTGAGCTTGCAACTGCTGCTGCTGTTGGTGGTAGTGAGGAGGAGGGGGAGGAAGAGGAAAGGGGGAGGGGCCAGAAGAAGAGAGGAAGTTGGGAGGAGGGGAGGGTGGTGGTGGTGGAGGCAGCATCCAGAAGTGACATGAGAGGATAGAGGAAACAGGGCATGAGGTGCAACATAGACATGAAGGGGAAAGAGACACAGAGGGAGGAAAAGGGGGAAAAAATGTGATTAGTACTTTCATTTCATCCAGTGCTTTCGCCCACTCCGTTACCTCTCCCACCTCCCCAAATATAATCTTCAAATCTCCAACATCTCATTTCCTGGTATAGCTCAAGCCCTGAGGGTGGAGCTGTTTACTAAATCAGTCCAACCCGTGTGAGCTAGCTCTAGGAATGAAAACTGGTATCTTGCTGAAACTAAGATGCCACTGATTTGACGACCCATCCTGATTTTAGTGAGTAAGAACATGGGAAGGTGAGCCAGTCCATGGCATGGTGGCTAAGGCAGCTAGATCCCACAAGGCTGACTGCATGCACAAGTCCTAAACCTGGTAGCCTAAAAAACACACTGGATGTGTTTTGGGCACATACCCAAAATCCCAAAAGGAGGGAAAAATGAAAGGGAAGGGGTTGGGATGTGACCATCCCCCGTGGGAGGTTGCTTTCTGCCTTTCTCTCCCTCTCTCTTCAGTGAGCACAAGAGCCCTCTGGCAAATTTTAAAAAAAAAAAAAAAAAGAATAGGGACCAACAGTAGGAATAATGGCTATGTTGCTGGACTCCCACGCTGTAGACCATGGTTCAAGTCCCAGACCTGGTGGCTTAAACTCACACCAGGTATGTGTGCATGTGTGCCCAAGATCCTGAGAGGAGAATGGAGGAGAAGGGATTGCAGTGTGGCCATTCCCCCTGGGGGGTGATTTCTCACTTTCTGTCTCTCTCTGTCTTTCTGGGGAGCACATGTGCCCTAAAATCTCTCAAAATTAAATAAATAAATAAATAAAAATAAAATAAAAATAAGAGGAGAAAAATTGCAGGAGGTGATATGATTACAATAAAGTAACCACATCCTCAACCAGTTACCAGTTATCAGGTGACTAACATTTTATCCCTATGTTCTTGGGCTAATCACAATGGCACAAGACAAAAACAAAATGAGGGTTCATGGAAAACACATGTTACAAAAAAAAACTGCATGGATTTCATTATTTTTTTATAAACAAAATAAACTTTTACTTTAATTCCACTTTTTCATGGATCTTTTGATATGTATGTCTCGTATTATTATTTTTTAAAGAGATTTTTGCTATAGGGCATGTGCGTTCACCAGAGACAGAAAGTGAGAAATCACCCTCCAGGGAACTCCACATTCCCTCCTCCTCCATTCCTCTTGGGACCTTGGGCATGTGTGCACGTGCACGTGTACACACACACACACACACACACACACACACAAACGCCTGGCATAAGTGTTAAGCTGCTGGGCCCAGGATTTGAACCGCAGTCAACTATGTGGGAGTGCAATGACATAACTATTACACCATCTGCTGGTCCCTCCTTGTATTAACTTTAATGAACAGAATTCAGAAAGGAAGAACTAACTAGCGCTGGGGTGTATGTTGTGTGTCCTTATTTTATCAAGTCCTCTATGAACTCTGAGTAAGTATTGATGCTCCCATTTCCAGAAGGAACCAAGGCTCAAGATACTGAGTAAATTACTGAGGTTCTCCCACTAGGCAGGAAGGGGCTGCAGCTTCGCAGGAAGACCCTCAAAGCTGCTCCCTCTCTTCCACACTGCTACTGAGTGAGGGGTTCTCAGGGAGCCTGGTGAGAAATAGCTAGAAGAAACCTGAGGGACAAGACTGTATCTTTTCCTTTCTCCTAGCCCACTCCTCAAACTCACCCCATGCCATGCTACAGATGAAAACAGAGCCAGAGAGGTTCGGAGACCTGACTAGGAAAGCACTTCTCTCTGGTCAGGTGGGGTTTGGACCACAGTGGCCGGAGTCTCTGTTCCCAAACGCTGCTTCCGCTACCTCACTTTGCCTCTCTCCCTGCACTCCTTCCAGAGGTTAAAAATCTGTTCACATGGAACCATATCACTGTTCTTGTACATTTAAGAGCATGTTGTGTGAAATGAAAAAGTAGTCAAGAAATGGCCCCCGCACCATAAATCAGGCCGCATTTCGGCTGTCAAACATAAAAGTTGGTTTTGATGAGGCAGTAAAAACGATTAAAGCCCAATTTCTAAGGTGTAATGTTAGAAAAGTCTTAAGATTCTGATTTGTGCTCACTTCCTTGGGACTAAAATGACTCGCTTTATTTATTGCCCTCTTGCGTGCATGGAATACATGAAATCCTCATCACAGAAGATCTTCCGAGATTTCCACCCAGACCGCTGTTTTTAATTGAATCCTAAACATGCATCCCACCCGCAAGTAAGAGAAAACAGCATTTAAACACCAGAACCCAATGCTGACTGTAATACCACAGTAAATTTTCAAACACTCCTATCATATTGTAAAGAAATGTTTAGGAGCTATTCTTTTCCAACTTTTATTTCTTCTAGAAAGAAAACAGTTCTTAGAGGGAAAGTAGAGAAGAGGGTGGGGTCAGGGCGGGCAACGTTCATTGTATTCTTGAAAAGTATTTATAAACTACTCATCTACCATTTGCAATCATAATAACAATTTCTGTACACATAAAATCAACTTCCTGTCATCCCCAAGACACTAATTCTTGCTCTGTCACCTTTTAAGAGCTCAGCAATAGTGAGACATAAAACTGAAGAAGCTGGCAGCGGCATCACGGTCCACTAGGCATGCTCATTAGCACTTAATTAGGAACTAGACACCTGCCAGAAGAAATGTGCTCAGAGAAGGATGAGGAACAGGTCTGCCCCCCAGCAATTACTATCATTACAGAGAGGCAGAGCTATGTCCGGCTTTTGGGGGGGAAGGGGGTGCAGTGATGCATACACAAGCAAGTGCAGCAGGGTAATTAGGCGCGACACTGAGTCAGAGGCAGTGAGGGCAACTAAGCAGAGGGGAAGGAATTTAACTACCACCCTCTCACCCTCCCCTGCATCCCACTCTCCAAAAAAAAAACCCAGGATGGAGTCACCAGGAGACAGCTTCAGAGGTGGGATCTGAAGTCGGAGCAAACACACGCATGGGTAATATAAATAAGGGTACACAAGAGGAGGTAGACATGCTCTTCTCTCCCCCCCAAAATTCAAGTTAGCTTTCAGAAAGATGAACTGGAAAGCAGGCTCTGATGTATTTTAGGAAAGAAGAGCTAGCTTGGGTAATAACGGGGCTTGGCCACAGCCGGGAAGTAGACCTATGTGGTTAAGCTCAACAGTTAAGCTGATAGCTACCAACGGGGACGTCCAACAGACTAACTGGCCACGGGTAACTCCCACTCCCACCCTGCTCTGGCTTTTCAGGACCCAATAAGAAACAGCTCACTGTCTGTTTTGGAGGTTAGGGTTCTTCCGCTCTTAGTGCAGCCATCCTGAAAGTTCCTTTCTTTTCATTTTTCCCCTATCAAATACAATCCTTTCAAACTGGCAGAAGTACTAAGTAGCAACTGGATCAATCCCAACTGTTGATGGTGCTGTTGCTTCTAGGAAACGTGGAAACATTCCCTCACATCCTACTTCTTGATCCCACTCCTCCGTGAGTATCTTCATATCCTTTGTGGCCTGAGATCAAAACCCATCAGATATAGGGAGGATAGGTATTATGGTTCCCCTTTTGGGGAATGGGACTGCCTCAAAGCTAAGAATCTTGCTATGGGGCTTAAAGCCAGACGAGGTCTACACACCCTTTGCTACCTAGAATAACACTGCTCCTGTAACTCCAGCAGCCCAGTCACGCTCCCAAGCACAAGGAAGGAAGAGGGCAACTGCTTCCCCACTGACGACTCCATGTTTCTCTCCCTGACCAACTAACAAGAGCACCTAAGACCATATAAACAGAGACAGACCCACCTTCACTGTCTGGCCTTAAGGACAGAGTCAGACAAAGGGTGGTTCTTAGATCTCTTAAGTCCCATGTCTGTTGTCCCACTCCTCATCGCCTATACGTACATCTGAAAAAGGAGGATCTTACTTGCCTCCAGCTCCCTTAAGGGAAGCATCAAGCCTAAGGAATGGCTCTAGCTTTACTAGGAAGTAGATGTTTAATGTTATAGGCTCATTTCTAAGGTAAGTATTTTCTTTTATTTTAAGAATTATCTATTTAATTTATTATTGCTTTCCAATTTGCTAAGGGGCATGCACACTCACCAGAGAGACAGAGAGAGTAAGAGGGAAAGTGAAAGCAAGCTGCCACATCCGGGATTCAAACTGCGGCTAGCCATGTGGGAGTCCAGCATCTTAACCACCACACCACCTGGCAACCCCTCTAAGATAAAATGTTATTTAAATGAATAGAGGGCCCCTATCTATTATAGAAAAGTAAACTGTTAACTCCAAAAGGGTAGCCCACACCTGCCCCAATATGTTTCTGAAAAAGTATGTACTCTCAACAAGGCTTACCTGTCATTGTCACAGGCATGAATGCTACTTAAGAGCATACTTTAGGACGAAAGTGATATTGACATTGCTATACAGCCAAAACCCCAACAGCTCTGCCAATAATGAGAATTTACATGCACCTCTCATCTAAAGACCCAAAATTGCACCTATAATTTAGGTAAACTACAAGATGCTTTCAACATGATGGTAAGGGGAGAAAAACTAGACTTTCTAGCCAGTCATTAGTTGATAATAAGAAAACTTTTAAAAAAGTTAATGTTCATAAATTTATATAGCACAAAACACACAGACAAAATAGTTTGTACAAGTTATTAGAAAAGGCTTTTGTTTTTTTTGGGGTGAGGTCTTTGCTATAGAGCGCATGCGCTTGCCAGAAAGACAGAGAGACAGAAAGTGAGAAATCACCCCCTGGAGGGATGGCCACGCTGCAATCCCTTATCCTCCATTCTCCTCTTGAGATCTTGGGCATGCACGCACACGTG